ACACACACATACACACACAGCACACACACAAACTGACTCCGGGAACACATCCCCATAGCAACAGCTACGACATATAAACAGCCCGAAACTGAGAGCTACACATCACACGCTCCTAAAACACACCCCTCTATCAGTGATTTATAAGCAAACACACACTCCTAGCTATTACAGTAAGGGCAGTGTATACACTTGCACCTGTCCCTGTGAGTGCAGCACAGTACATAATGTTAAAGGGTCAGTTCACCCAAAAGAAAAGACTAAATCTCACTGTATCTATCTCTGCAAATAGTTTAAAGTTTAATTGCGCAGGTGTACAATATCCATCTCTGAGATTTTCTGCCTCCATTTGAATACAATAAATTTGAAAGGAAGTATGTTGGTGCTTAAAGCACAATTAATCTTTTAGTCCCTCTTACTGTGAATATTTTACAGACCTCACTGTCAGGAGTTTACATAAAGCCTTTTCTTCGGTTGACAGTAGCTCCAATTAAACATTTTTCAATGTTGTAAGAGCCACAAATGAAATCCTACTCATCTCCAATGCAATGTGGTAAAGGCAAAACATTTTTAAATTATATTTGTTTTTATAAAACTCTAAACCAAATTTAGGATAGTTTGGGTAAACTGACCCTTTAAGAGGCATTCTTACTGGTGTGTTTGGTATGTGTGTTACAGGGAGAATGGACATCATTAAGTTTCATAAACAAATGGTATTATGACAATGAGACCTCTATGCAGAAAAATGAAAATGTTTGGCATAAATGACAAAAACAGATCAACGTAATCACCAGATACTGTACACAATCAACAAGGATGTGAGAAAACATACAGTGGGATGTGCTGGATAATTGTATGAGACTGACAACTCACAGTTCTTATGCGTTATCTATTGCATTATTACAAATGTTACAGGCGGAAATGTGTGGGCAACTCTACCAGAGAGTTTGATATGTTTGTCAGTATCATTTTATGTGCATACATCTCACTGTGACCTGATTGAGAATTAACGCTGTGAAGTGAATGGCTTGTACATTTCAGTCCATGTAGTCAGAAACTTTTTCCAGGGTTTAAAAATGACTGCAAAGGGAATCCAGAGGTGGAGCACTGATGCCATGCTAATAATAAAGCAGCTCAGGCTGTGCAGTGAATTGAACTCTCTCTTGGAAAGGTTGGCCAGCCATTATGCACCCTGTGCATGGCGGTGATGGCATGTAGTAGCACAGACTGGCCACAGAGAGGTGCTGTTACAATCACACAAACTGTTACATGATTCCTCCCTAAAGTGACTGGAGGTTCAAGTACTTCCTTTACAAGGAACACAGTGACAAGCTGCACAGGCAGCAGGTTTCTGATGGCAGTGTCTGTCTGTATGTATTATAATTGAGCAGCTGACTGTTAGGTGACTGTGGCAGTGACTATCACTATAATTATCTGTTTCTGTCTCCCTGTTTCTCCAACTAGGAGTCTATTTGTGTAACTGACAGCCTACCTGTCAACCTTAAGCACAGTGACAATTAAAATTCAGGTGATTGTCTTATGGGAGGATTGTCAGTAGAGAATTCACAATGGTTATTACATTATTTTACAGTTTATTTCTTGATTCCTTTTAGAGCTTATCGCACATTCCCCTTTCCGTTGGCTTTGTTCTCTTAGATGAAGAGCTGGAGGCAGTGACACGGCTTTCTGTATGAATACAGATGCGTTATTGCACCAGACACAGAACAGTACTGGTTTACGGTCACACACACACAAAAACTGATGAGTCCATTCTGAGGAGACTCCAGAGTCTTCGAAAAACAGATGCCAAAATCGTTTTCTCCCTCTGTCTTTACATCCATGCAGTTTTTTTTATGCATCCATCCAAAGGGACCTTCAATCACTTTGTTCCTGTTTGTTTTCCAGAGAAAAAGGCCCAGGAATTCCCGGGAAGAAGTTTTATGCTGACAGGTCTGATATGACCAGTTTTTCCATTTTATTCCCAATCTCTCCAGGGACTTGAAGCTCCTCGGATTCATAGTCATCATCAAATGACCTGTGAACACAAGCCATATAGTAGAAGTGGTTAACTGTTACTGCATACACCTTCTTTAAATTCACAAAGAACTCAGTCTATTTAAAAGATTGATAGGCCTGTATGTAACTGTGCGTGTGTGTTGTACCCCTCATGTAGCTGTTCATTTGCAGTCTCCTCTGCCACCAGTATCTCATATTCCTCTGAGGCATATTTATCCCAGTCAGATGGCTCTGGACCTTCACTATCAATGTCCTGGAACAACACATGCAAAATATCAGCATTTTACAGGTACTGACAAAAACAGTAGAAGTAAAGTAGAAACAGAATTCTATAGATTTGTAGAAAACAAAATAAAGCACAAAAAGGAAAGTAGCTTTAAAACTATAGAAATACATGGCACCTGGAAATGTGGAGGATGTATCAAAACTGATTTTTTTCTAGTAGCAATGGAGGAATTTTATGTAGATGTAAATTGTAATAGTAATAGTAAAAAATAAATATTAAAAGCTCAGACACTGTAGTATTTTAAAACCTTTCAGGGCAAAAATATAGTGCTGAAGAGTGGAATGAGCTCTCAAGTTTTCAAATAAAATCTACTCAATTGTGTGGGAGATTTTTAATCTTGTGTCCTTAATTAGCTGTGTTCTACTTCACACTTCCACACAATGCTTGAAATTTGATTCAGCATCCCTTATCCCCTTCAAACTGACAACTACTGCAATATAGCAGAATATTACATATAAGAGATGCAAATTCACACCTTTTGCACAGCAAATGGATCCCTCTGTTCATGGTCCAGGTATTTCTCCAGGTTGAAGAAGGTGTCGAAGAATATGTGGGCCATCCGGCAGCGCTTCAAATCACCAAGGGTTATCTTACCTGGAGAAAACAACATATACACCAACATGTGCATTAGTAAGGTTCAGAGAGCAAGTTAAAAAGAGAATTGGTGTGGCTTTCCAATAAATAGAAATAAAGGAAAACACCAAGGGTGAGCTAGTAGTGGCGCTTACCTTGGCTCTCAGGTTTGACTAGGTCGAGCATCTGGCAGAGCAAATCCTGGAAGGGCAAAGGTTCGATGCCCATCCTTTCCATCCTCTCACACTGTTCCTCATAGAAATACTCCAACTCAAACATGGACAGGACACCATCCCCATCCGTGTCCATGCAGCGGAACCAGTACTCTATACTGAAGAGAAATCACAAATAAAAACAGAGTTACACCACATGCAGACACAAACACCCACAACCTGTGGATATTTGCAAATAAAGTGTGTGACAATTGGCCGGGATGTAACATATTTATCAGACACAGTCACACAGAACCAGGCGACTGTATATTACCTGGTGGGATTTTTCTTGTCTTCTTCAGATATGAGGAACCAGACAAACTCAGCGTAGCTCATCCTGCCTTCCCTCTGCACAGCGTTACCCCTGGAAACAAGAGAGACAGAGCCATTCACATCCAATACTGCCATTATTGTGAAGTAAGCAGCTCCTCTGGGTTTGTTTATGTGTGTCTCCACTTACCGAGTAACGGCCCCTGAAAACAGTCTTTCAATGATTCTGTTTGAGGATGCTGTCAGAGGAGAGAATGAGAAGAATAAGCAAATCTGATTTTGTTCAAAGACACAGAAACAAATGGATACTGTTGTGAACTATTGCGCATACAGTACAGTCACTTGCGTAAATGGTCTTATAATGCAGTCAACGGTGTAATGCAATTCACATCAGACAGCATGAAAGTGTTGAGCCTTGGACAAACAGCTGTTGTTTTTCTGCACTAGTTAGTTGGGGACCAACACATGGAAAATAAGCAAATGAATGTGCCAAATCCAAAGACTGTCTGCTCCTGATTCTTTACTGGCATCCTTTATAGATCCCCCATCTTTCCAGATGAATCCAATCCATGAGTCCCAAAACATTATAATATTTGTTTTGCCTTAAGGCTTGAATTCTTTTTTGACGTACTTTCAATTTTTGAAGAATAACCCCCATCTGTCTGGTATGGATGTATTTCAGTTACGGAAAAAACACCCATCAGTTATTCGTACCGTGGTCATTGTATCTCGCCAGATCTTTGGGATCGATGTAGAGGTCATGGTCGGTGTCCAGCTCCCAGAACTTGCAGTAGATGACGTAGAAGTGTTCGTAGGAGAAGTAGTCAGTGATCTGGTTGATGTCGTCCTCCTCCTCCAGCAGGGCCAAGGTTTGTAGGAAGTTGCTTCGGCGCAGCTCCATCATGGTGATACGACCCGTCCACGAACGGTTCACCACATAGAATATCCGTTGGATCACCTGGGATAACAGAGTATCCAAAAGGTAATGATTGTAACTTATTTAAAAATAAGTTACATTATGATATCTGAAGATGATTTGAATTTGGGTCCTAAATGGGCCATTGTCACCTTCCCCCGAAGTAAAGTTAAGAGATGGCAAAGTTTTTTTTAATCCATTATTAGTTTTCACTAATGGGAGTCTAAAAAGGGATCCAGAAGGATGACACTCTGGTAACTGTCAGGCCGGATGGACTCTGCTTTCAGTCTATTAAAATAGCATGGAACTCACATGGGACCTATACGAGCCCTGTCATCCGGATTTATTTAACATATTCATCATCTTGCTAAGAAGGAGACCTACCAAAAGCGCATCTACAACTGATATGTTTGCCCACATTCACAATATTGGTGAGACAGGTCTTTAGGATACAATGGAAACAATGAGGTCTGGGCTCCCTGTCCCTGAAACACAACACTTAGGGCTTAGTAAAGAGCGGATTAGCACCCATTTCCTGGTACATGGACCTCCCAGGGCTACTAATGTCTCATACAGTAGCAGGTCAGCTGGCCTAAACTGAAGGAAGTGTCTTAATATGGGCATGTGGAGGGCTTGGACCTCTCGGCAGCAGCAAGCTGTAGGGGGCATAAGTGTTTCCGTGACGTTATTGTACGCTGACGCGTCAGAGCATGTACTTCTCTGCATCTCTGCACTTTCACGCAGCAGAGCCTCAACTTCTAAAGCACGTGTTGCAGCTGTCCTGATCCACATTCACAGACACACACACGTACAGTCTGCTGTTAAAGTTATTACATGTGCAGAGAGCAGTTTTTTGTGGGGCTTTTATTGCCTTTAATGGATAATGACAGCCCCGGCACCAGCTCTACCAGGTGAGCTTTCAGCTATTTTACCTTTATTTTACCAGGAAATCCCCTTGAGATCAAAAATCTGTATTTCAAGAGAGACCTGGCCAAGGTAGCAGCTGTACAAAAGTGCAACATATTGAAATACAATTTACAAAACATGATCCTCATATGCTCATAACATTTTTTCATGCCATTTACCGTTGTTATGTAGCGGGAATGGAACTCAGGTGCATCCTTCAGAAATGTGAGCCCAGGGTGTGTATCCACTATGTCCTAATCAGACACACAGGAGGAAACGGAAAAAAAAATATTTTAGACAAGCGGTAAGGGCCAGTGGTGGAAGAAGCATTCAGATCTTAGTAGAAGTAAAAATACTAATACCACAATGTAAAATTACCCTGTTACAAGTAAAAGTCCTGCCAGTTTAAAAATGAATATAGAAGTAAGGTAAGATAATCAGAACATTTACTTTTAAAGTACCTCTTTGATCTTTGTATTCTTCTTATCATATATATATTATTCATATTATTATTGTTATTATTTCTCTGCATAATGTAATGATTTTGTTGTTGGTTGAGGTAGAGCTCATTTCAAACTACTTTCTACAGGACAACTAATGAATATTTTCATTAAGGATTAATATGCTGATTATTTTCTTGGTTAACAGACTGTGTGTTTGGTTTGTAAAAATTCTGGGAATAGTGAAAAATCCCAATCACAAGTTCTAATAGCCCAGTGAGTATGTTGATGTTGATGAAACATTCACCTGCAGTAGAGGAATGAAGTCCTCCTGCTCCAGGTAGGTACAGCTGGGTTTAGCTAGCAGGTAAATAAATCTTGATGCATCATCGTGGCAACTGTGCAACAACCTGCAGGAGAGGAAAGACAAGAGAGGAAGGTTTGGCATTTCATACCATAACCTCATCAGACTAATGACATATTTCTCAGATAATGTGTGTCTTACTTCCTCCAGGTTGCAACGAAGGAGTGAACAGAGACAAAGCCCGTCCTCTCACCACCTGCTGAGTAGAACATGGGAGCCTTCCAGTAAAGTGGACACCCGCATGCCTGAACAGAAACACAAGTAACACTACTATTACCTTACCGTGAAAAAGAAACTGTGCGCTGAACTGACACTGTTAATAAGGGAGTGGCAGCACTGTATCAGCCACATTACGTGTGTAATTATTTCTTGTGAAAGGAAACTGTTTCCAGAAACTGTTTATGGAATGAATCAGTGTGGTAGCTTTAGGATGAAACATGACAACAATGTTAATCACATATCTCACATTTGACTGCAAGTAAATGTTGATATTTTCATCCTTTAAACTTTTATCATACTTCAAGTTTAAATTAAAAACAGATGTAAAGTATGAACTTTGTAATGTCTGGTGTTAAACTGCTGACCTTTGCAATCTTGCCCATTTCATATATGTCAGCCTTCTCCTCCTCAAACTCAGTGAAGGCTGTCTCAATGGCAGCAATGGCTGCGTCGTGGTTGGCGACCGGGCCCATGGCAGGGAGCCCACGGGGGTAGTAGAACCTGGGAATGTTGATGGCAGGGGGAGGAGGGGTGACGATCACTGGAGCCGGAGGAGGGCTGGGTGAGCGTGGCGTGGGGGCGGGTGAGGCTGTGGCCAGGGCTGGGGCTGGTGGAGGTGTGCCTGGTTTCTTCTCTGGTTTGGCCTGGACCTAAAAAGAGAGAAGTGAGATCATATGTGGGAATGGACAAGTACGATTGGGGGTGATAACCTGTCATGGTAATTTTACATCTCGCATTTGCATTTCTGTTGATCTGTAATCCGATAAGAATGTTGTTAATGTTGTGAACCAAATCTTAAAAGAATGGTGAAAAAAAGATAACCGTTGCAACATCTTACATACACAACATGCTCATGACTGAAACACCACAGGCGAGGTATGCTTGATGGCCTTTTGTTCCACATCAGAGCTACACTCTTGCATTGTAAATATCAACTCACAGCACACTTGCAGCCATATTGCTGCATGATTCTGACCTTCTTTTCAACTCCATATTCATTTTCATGTCAACTAAGCAAAGAAATGAAGCACTTTCCCCAAAACTATAGGCAGAGTTGGAAACTCTCAGTGAGTCATAAACCTACATACAAACAATAAGAGACTTGTTTTACAGTGGCAAGAAAAGCTCCAGGTGGCATAAAAATGTAGCTGTCAAAACTATGCTGGCCTTAATTTAATTCATCCTAATATCTGGAAGTTTAACTACCAAATAAGGGTAAATTAACAACACACATGGCAACAAGACTATAGCACTTATGATGGTTTGATCATTAAAGAATTCAAAGAGCGCTACACAAAACCCAAATTGGACAACACTGACAAATGACAAAAAAGGGCCCTTTGAGTAGTTAGCAGTACTGTATGCATGAGAAAATAGTATGAATTGTCCTCCAAAGACCTGAAAAATATCTACTTAATGTTTCACAATATTTGGAAAAGACAAAGGAAAGACAAAAAGGAAAAATACTTCAGTCAGTTCTAGGCAGCCATCTCTATTTATTCTCCCAACACAAGACTTAATGTAACAGAGACAAAAAATGCGCCCATACACTGTGGACTGTCCTCAGAAAGATCAACATACTCCATTATCTAATACACAAGACAACAATTTACAGCAATGTCAAGGAGAGATGACATGTCTAAGACCCATTTGCTGTAGTTCAAGGGAGATGGCACGAAAAGTTTCAGATTTCACCCAGTGAAATTAAGAGACCTCAAATCAGAATTTAATGAACAGTGCTCGAATCAAAACTGCTCAGTAAGTTGGGGCAGGAGCTCCCTAGTGCCCAGTGTGTGTGGTGTGCGTCCTCTTGAGGGCCTCCATACTGTGTGTACTGAGCAGGACAGCTGTAGCAGTCCTCCCCCTCCCACTCTCCTTCACAGAGTTCATTCTATCACTCTATTCCTGCACCTCCTGCCCTATTAATACCCTGCTGGTATTTGCCTCAGAATAGTTTGTCGTCCCTGGCATGTCACTCTGTGTGTATGAGAGCAACAAGATGGATCTACTGTATGTGTATATATAATATATGAACATCTGTGTGTACATATTTTTTGTAGAGAGAAACAAAAAAGAATGATATAAACTTATTATACTTATAATAATATAGTTATTAGTATTATTAGTATTTGAGTGTATTTCTTGTGTGTCTAACTTCTTCATATTTCTTATGAGTTTGCATTTTGTGTGCATGTTCCAAACGCGCATCCTGCCACTCCTGCTTATTGCACTGACTGACCTGTTGCTGCTGAAAGGACTTGAGTCTCTTCTTGAAGCGTGAGGGGAGGACAAAGTCACACCCCCTGGCCAGAAAGGCCAGCTCCCCCCTCAGGTCAGGGTCCCGGCGTAACGACGTCTCCTTGATCATCATGGTGGGGGCCGAGACACGCAACCCCTCACCAGACACGGCCACCGGTACGGCTACTGACACGGTGACTATAGAAGGACCAGCTTGCCCAGCAACCAAACAACCGCTGAGACGAAATCGAGTGGACTATAGTAAAGAAGTCCACTTAACAGCTCAGATATCCAGTAACCAAAAAATGGCCAAACACCTCAAGAAAGCATGTGTGTGATTTCAGGCAAAACGCCCTTTTGGCAATCACTCACGCTCACAAAATTTCTCTCCTCCAGGCTCCACTCGTATGTACAGGCTTCCAAAGCAGTAATCCAATAGTGTATCTTTGCAAAGAGATGTTCCTCAGGACTCCTGTTCCACTGTGCAGGCTGGGAGGCAGAACCATGGTACTGGGCTGTTCTATGGCTAGTTGCAGTCCCAAACACCAGCTTCCTCTCTGGGCTAGAAAAACCTCTAGTGTCCCCCTGTCAGCTCTGGATGTATGTATTTGGTGTAGTCTCACTGGTGCCTGTTGCTCCAAGCTGGGCTCTGACATACTGCTCTGAGAAACATGAGCCACGCCGGGATCTGGCAACACACACACACACACTCAAAGCAAACCGGCTGTCCTGAGCATTAGGGTGGGGGTGGAGAGGGGGTTAAGCCATGTTGCATATCTGTGTGTAGTGTTTTGCAGGATCGGAGCCCTCCTCAGCCCCTGCCTTTGACTAAAGTTAGCCAGTGGGAAGTTATAACTCAAAGAGAGTCTGATTGAAACCATTTTACTGAAGACATGAAGCCTGGGCCGGTGCTTCAGCGTAAGTAGAATGGACAAGTAAGCTGAAATAATTTTTATAGAGACAGTTTGTGATGGAGGGATGAATCAGCAGGCAAAGCACCTGTTGTTGTATCTGTTGACATATAGGTATTCGCTGGATGTGCTAGGAGACTTAAAGCAGCATTCCCTTTTGCTAGAACATTAAAAGCTTCAAAATCCACGACTGTAGGAGTCACTCACAATTTCCTGTAGTCAATGGTGTTTGTTTTGTCCCACTAACAAAATATTCTGTTAACTTTCATATAAGAGGAGCAGATCCTCATATTTGAAAAGCTATAATCAGGGAATGTTTTCCATTTTTGCTTGAAAGTTGATACATTTTCACATAGTTGCTGATTAATTTTCTGTTGATCGCCAAATCGATCTAATCGACTAATAGTATCGGCTCTGCAGTCCAGTACCAAAAGATATTCAGTTTCCAGTGATATAAACAAAGAAAAGCAGCCAAAGTCTGGAAACCAGGGACCAGAAATTTGATAATCACCTGCCAAAATACTCTAAATCCACCAGTAGGATATAGGTTTCTTTCCTGGTGCTTCTGATTTGTAAGTACAAAATAAATATGTTGTAGTTGTGGTTGAATTGTTAAATATAAAGCAAGCTTGGGAGTAAAAATGCAAAGACAACTACACGCTTGGTATATTAGAGTATATGGTAATAGCTAATTAATAGGGAGTATAAATAGATGTGTGTATAAATTGCCAATAAAACATCATCCATCTGCCAGGAAGCCCAGAATCTGCCCCTTCACCCAACTATGCCAGATAAGGCCAGTACCCCTTCAGTGCCAAGCAACACCAATTTGAAGCCTGACAGGGCAAGAGAGGGGATCCCTCAGGACAGGCGGGCGTGACCTATTTTAAACTTGCCCAGCTAAAATCCCTACAAGATGAAGACACCCCACCAAATGTCATATGCCATATAACTGTTAACACATACCGTGCAATGTATATTAATGCTTGCCACTGACTGTCAAAGAAGAGGAACTGTCAATTTCTTCAAATTTATTGGTGCAGTAAACACAGATTCTACTGTGGTTGTGTTTCTGAGCAGCAGAGATGGAGAGTATAGTGCCCTCTAGTGCTATACTGGGCTCCCTGAGTTTGAAACAGAAGCATATATGCAAGTAGAAATACATCACTGCTGTTGGATGAAACCATTTACTACTGGAGGTAGTCTGAAACTTTTAGAAAAATAAGTTTTTCCCACAACCGCAACAGCACATGTTACTGGTCCGGTGTGTACTGTTCTACATCTAGAAAAAAATTCTTATTTTCTATTTTCAGAAGTTTATCCCTCCTCTCGCCGTCTTGTGTATTAGTATGCGTTTTGTTGCAACTTTAATGTCTCTGTTACTCACCAGTAACAACATGGGGTGTGAGTAACAGATGAGTCTCTCTCACATCAGACATGTAGGAGTGTTTAGATGTGTTTCTATGTGCATTCAGAGAATGTCTAATAAGGACGTTAGACAGGCTCTGGTGCATTAATGAATTTCCAGGAAACAAAATGAGTCACCTTGGATTTTAGGGTTACTCCTCTCAGCTCCCTGTACGCCCTACTGAATTCTTTGGAACAACTGCACTCTGTACTAAAGCCAAGATCACATACCGATCCCACACACACTCAAGCTGACACACACATTGTCTTCCTTTGACCACTTCTCCCCTCAGTACTGCCGGGGGAAACATTTTACAATCACAATCTTGTGTCAATCAACAAATGAGCATGATCTGAGGGCTGCTATCTCAACAGCCCTTCGTGTCAGGTTGAATCCCTCACCCCTCCCTTTCTTTTTATCTCTCTCCCTCCCTGCTCAGTCACTGGAAGTCAGTTCCCACCACTTCCTCTGTACCACCTCATCAACTGTAGCGATGCACTTGTGATATCATAAATCTCTGTATAAAGAGATACGTGTGTGCATGTAAGTGTGAGTGTGTGTGTAAAGAGAGCCAGAACAGATGCCATTGGGCAGCTGTGTGCTCTTTTCCTGTCTGACTGACAGTCGGTGTAACTCTGCACTCTGAATAAGTCGCTGCTTGGTCCTAAAACCAGCCTCCTGGTCTTGAGTGTTCAACATCACTCCAGCTTTTAAAATATCTGTCACTAAAGCTGGCACAACAGCAAAAGGAATAAAACAGCCAATTTACAAAGATGTGAAAACTGTCAGGGAGGTGTGGGAGCCAACTCCTTTAAAGACTCTGAGATGTTCCACTATGGTATGTGGGACAGTAGCTGCAATCTGCTCAGGTGACATGAGAACAACTTGTGGGACAAACTGTTCCCAGTGGGAGGGATACATAAGGTCAGCAGTGATAGTGATAGTCTGTCACCCAAATGCTTTAACTTAACATGCTATATAAAATGCTATAGCAAAAAGACTTGCATTGTAGTTAGCAGTCAGCAATTCAACTTAAATTGGATTATAAAAAAAGAAGTTTTGAATTACAAGTAAAGTATTATTACACTGTATT